TTTTGATTCCAGAAAATAATAGAGCATTTCTTCTGTTGCAAAGAACTCAGAAAGCCCACAACAGGTCAGAGTGTTTTTAATACTAGGGATTCCTGTTTAAAACCTCTGGGTTTCTTTTGTGAATGTTTACACACCTCACAGTGCCCACGTTGTGTGGCCCCCTGCAGCACCCTTGCAAGGATAGTAAGACATTGGAGGGTGCCATGACAGTGGTTTAGTGCAGTGGTTTCAATGCTTTACTACTTCAGCATGCAACCGTGTTGCGTTGGCTTGGACCACCGACTCCCTGTGTGATCTCAGCAAGTTGCTTCATTTGCTCCTTGTTACCCATTGGGTAAGCAAGAACAGTACTACTTCCCTAGGGGCTGTTGTGAGCATACGCGATTACCACGGGGAAGGAAACTGTATGAGCATCTAGGCTTTTATATACAGTAATTACTTAAATGGTCAAGTCCTTTCAATAGGTGGAAAATTATTTCACTGGGTAATTCTGCAGAAAGGAAGAAAGGTCTTTTTAAAGTGCTGCCTCGCCTAAGATCAATGTCAGGTGCGTTAACTTTTTTATGAGCAGGGGGTCCTGCAGAGTTGGGTCCCTTGCAGGGGATCATGCTGAGTTGGGGTCATACTGAGTCAGTCCTACTAGGTGGTCATGCTACATCGGAGACAAAAATGGGACTAATTTCCATTTGTTATGCTAGTGGTGATGGTAAATGATTGGAGAGATGTTCTGTCCTTGTCTGAAGTCACCCACAATCGGAAGAGCCCCAGCTAATGCTCGCTTTGTCTTTAAAGATGCAGTTGCCTGCATTAAAGAAGGGTTGGGCAAGAGCGCTCCAAAGCTGATGCCTCGGGAAGCGATAACCATGCAGACAGCCAAGACACAGTAACTTAAGGGCTTCTCTTCAAAGGCTCCATGTGCTCTCTTTACAAAGCCAAATCCTTGGGAGTGGGCTCCTGCCATTACACAGACTGAGTTAAACACATAGTCACTGTGCTGGGGGAGGAGGGTTAAGACCTGCCAAGTCCTTCCCAGTTGCATCTGCAAGGGAGAGACGGGAACCTAACGTTACAGGGGGAGAGTCCCCATGTGGGAGGGGATGGCCACGTACCGGGCTGAGTGGGATGAAGGGCGAGTGCATGGGGGTGCCCCTGCCGTGAAGAAAAGGGATTTCTGTCTCTCCTGTGCACCAGGTTGTTCTTTCACTTTATACATGTTCAAAGCTGGCTCGCTGACTTCAGGGGGAGTTTGCATGAGTAAGGACCTCACATCTTGGCTCAGACCATAGGGCTGTTGTTGGCAGCACCTGTCACTGCTGTCACTTGCATAATAAGAGAAGCGAGTGTGCGATCTGTCCTACGCAGCAGACATGGTGCTGCTTTCGATCCTCCGAGGAAAACAACACAGCTGGTTTATAGACCATGAAATCACCGGAGCGCGTAGCTTAGCTAATTACAGGTTTGCACAAAGGAGCAAACTTCGGGGAATTCCCGTGTCGGCCCAAATCGCACCTGGTGGAGGCTGCAACCCTGTAGGAGCCGTCTCACGTCACAGTGCCGCGGATTCCTTCCCGCGCGTGGTCTAGGCCACGTACGCGCCACAGCCGGTCATGTGGGGTCTAAAAGACCTTTTCAGCTCTTATATGTACTCAAATACCCTCTCAAGAGCATCTCAGAGCTGGAAAGGTTGGGAGCTCTTGGTCATTTGGACAGCTGCAGAGAGTGGCTGGTGAGTAGTGGAGTATAGTGTGCAATGTCTTTCATGCAGCTCAGAAGAGGGAGCACGTGTTGGGTTGTATGAATGGAGCTTCACAGGATGGTCCTTTGGGACAGTGTAAGACTTCACTAGGAAGAAGGCAGGATTGTGAGCTCTCTGTGCAGTTTTAATGGCTGATTTGCAGGAGAGAAATGCTTATCCAGAGTGCAATTTTCCCATTTGCATAGAGACCTGTACAGTCCAGGCATGATTTAAATTCCACATAAGCGCTCACATCTTTGCTTTTCACATTGTGCATATAGAGCTTGCAGTTGCTTTTTCTGTGGCCTGTACTTCCCCCTTAGAGCACAACCTGTTTCATCCCAGATGCTGCAGACACATGAGGAAGTTCATGTACTTGAAGAGCTCCCAGGTCACATTGTTTGTCTGTAGGATCAAGGCTTCATCCAAAGTGTCAAACTGGGCAGTGCCGTTATGCACTCAGTAAAAAGCTCCTGGCTATGTCAGACCCTGCATCACTGGCAAAGCTGAATATTCAAAGAAAATGTGCTGGAAAAAGATTCTTCCATGTTGATTTGGTTTGAAACAAAAACCCTGGTTTCCATGATATTAAGGTCTGAAGTGATGGTTGTTTTTTTTTTTTAATGGGATTTCCTGTAAAGTGATAGGCCATATAGGAGTTCACCCACTTCTCTGTGTATTGAGCCCAGTAACTTGTCAGATTAAATGTCTCCAGATTTGTTTGACCACATCAGGGCAACGTGGAGAAGAGGTCAGGTTGGACAGACACTTGACCGGGATGATTTAGTCAGAGATGATCCTGTCTAGAGCAGGGGGCTGAACTAGGTGACCTCATGAGGTCCCTCCCAGCCCTACTTCCCTCAAACCCTATGATAAAGAGCTGGAGAACGGCTTCCCTTGGGACCTTGTTCCAATGGTTCACCACCCTCACCACTAAAACTTTGTGCCTTATTTCTGTTGGTCTGAGTTTAACTTCCACCTGTGTCCTTAAATGGAGCAAAACTCTGGTTGCTTTTTCACATCTGCTCTTGCAGATGGGTTAACAGCACCATGAAAAGCATTATCTTTTGGCACATTGGGCAGAATAGCGTTAAATAGCTGTCTCTCCGTTGTTAGACATCTGTCCCCTGGCAGGCCTTTGCATATCGTTTCTTCTTGGGAATTTTAAATGTGGTTCTATAGTGTAGTATATCAGGTCTTTTAAAAAACCATACATTGCAGTACACGACATACAAGATGACCTAGAGGAGGTAGCTGGGCGCAGCAATTCTGGGAAGGTAACGCAGCATTTCCTGCAGCTGAATTTCGGCTGTTTTTCACTCGTGCTGGTAATTACTGTTTGCAGTACCCTGGCCAAGGACAGCATAACAAATAAAACTCTCAATTCAGTCTTTTGCCAAGAGTCTGAGACGCAACAATAAAAGCACAGGCTGTGTGGTGCTTGGGGCAAAAAAAATCATTGAATTACATGATCCACTGGCTTGGGTACCTGGAGTATTATATTTTTTTCTAGGCATGTTTCCAGAAAGAGAGAGACAGATTGAGGGGAGCTTGGAAGAGCTGAACAATTAATGAACCAGGGGCCGGAGGGATTAGTCTGGAAGGAAGGATGAAAATCTCTCTGGCAACACCGAGACTGGGGAGGATAAAGGCTAAAAATAATATGCATCATTTTTGCTGTGGCATCAGCTGTGCCATGGAGAGTCCCAGGGAGCTCTGCTTCATTGGGTGGCACAGACATCACCCACCGTCCATCCGGGCCTGGGCCCTGCAGCTCGTGGGACTTCAGGGACCCAGTCCTGGGGCACAAGTACAAACAAACCGACCCAGATCGCAGCAGCATGATGCACGTGCCCAGAAAATCTCCCTCTGGGGGTTTCCGGGCATGCCTCTGCAAGCAGGAAATCCAGGCAGGTGTCTCTGAAGCCTCCGGGGCCTGATTTTGTGTGCCCTGGGAGTACCCCTAGAGAGGATTTCATGGGACATGCAAGATTGAGCCCCTTAAGCCCTGAGAGTGCCTACCGCGGGAATATGTGGACTGCCACAAAACCGCAGTACAAATTAATACTACCTTTGGTCTCAGACACAGATTTGGACGTTTGTGACGCAACAAAGAGTACAGACGTCTGTTTGCTTGTGCTTTGCACCACCGTGAATATGTTTATGGCAGCACAGGCGGTTCTGCTGGTGAGACCACCAACTGGCAGGAAGGAGATCTCGATTCGGGAGGGATGTCGGAGAGAGGAGATCACGTGGGTGGCCTCCGACTTTCTCCTTGTCAGGAAACCTCACCAGTGAAGACAGGTGTAGGGAGCGGGTAAGAGGTCAGTAGGCAAAAATAGTGGCAAAGAATGAAGGCATGAGCTGGAAGTATGATGATCCTATGCCGCCCTTGTAGCAGTTGCTCCTGGGACTGCTCAGTGCTTCGGTCTCCCAGCATCGATGGGATTTCTGGGTGATCAATCGAGCACCAGGGCTGCAAGGTAACATCCAAATCGGCTCCTTGTTATGCAACTCTGGTGGTCTTTGTTCACAGGCAGATGACAGCGTGTTGTAACCATGTTGCTTACAACTAAGCTTTAAGGAGTTTGGTGACCAGCAAATGATAGTGCAGCTTATTCTGCCTGTCGCTGTGCTGGATGTGTCTGCTCCATTCATATTTGAGGAACCAAAACCATTGCGCTATGTCTTTGTGTCTTCAACTTCTGGCTTCTTCAGCATCAATTTAAGATAGTATTTGGATGCACTGATGGATCAAAGGTTAGTTGTGTCCTCTTGGGAACCCACTTTCGCTTGGGCAAGTGAAATAGAGCAGTGATTTTTTTTTTTTTTCCCTAAACTAATTGTCATAGTTTATGGGAATGCGCAGTCTCGCTCTGTTACAATGGATGCTTTTTTCTTTCTCTAGCAATGGTTTTATGTATGAAAACAAAATCCTGTGATTCTCCCCATGGATATGGGAAGCTTTGTTATGAGCAGAGATCTGTGTTTTCCATTTTCCCGTAGAAAGACAGAGAAAAATGAGGATTTCCACCTTTACCCGAGGAAAACATGGATTTCTTGTTTTAGTGGAGAAGCCCACAGATTTTGCAGTTTTGCAAAGAGCTGTCCGCAGGCTGGCAGAGTTGCAGCCTGCAAGGGGCTGGGGGGAGTGGGAGGGGGTGGTCAGGCAGGGGGCACCATGTGAACAGACTCGCACGTGGCCTCCAGGCAGCCTGGAGAGCAGCTCCTGTAGGTAAGGGTGCGGGGTGGGATTGAGGCTCCCATAGGGAGGGAGGAAGTTGGGCAGGGCTGGGGCTAGGGATGCTGCCCAGCCAGGTGGTGCATGGGGCTTGGGGCCTGGGGCCACAATGCACAGCCGCAGCACCCCGGCGGGGAGCGGGATGGTGCCGCAAGCAGCTCGTCTGGGGGGGCGGGAGGGGTCATTCTTGTCCCATTCAGTAGAGGCCAATGGCCTGTACCTGCAGTAATCAGCATGCTACTGTGCCACCAATTACCTTCCCTGGGGAAGATTTCAAGTTTCACTATCAGATAACAACCAGGTTAGTACAATCCTGATAGAAAATGGCTTGCAAAAAGCCCCATGTTCTGGAGTGGAGGATGCTCCTTTTTAAGCTCCCAGTTGCAAGAGAGTAAAAGTGGAGTGGATGCAAGACCCGCGTTCCCAGCCCTTCAGTTGTGTAGTTACAGAATTTCACACCCCTGCAGACGCTATGGCAGAAATGCCAGTCGTGGTGGTAAAGGGCTCTCCTGAGATGCTGCTACTTAACCCGACATATTTATAGCAGGGAGGCATGGAAAGCCTAGACCCCTGCTGACAGCTGTAGCCTGCAAAGTTAGGAGGGTTGGAAAGCCTGTTGGATGTCAAATTTAAAGAGAATTAATAATAGCCTGGGCTCAGAGCTTCTCACTGTCCTGTCAACTCCCTCCTGCAAGCAGCATTCAGAAATCCCGTTTTTTCCTGTTTTCCCACCAAAATCCTGCCAGTGAATGACTGCCCTGTGCTTGTCCAGTCTATCTCAGACCTGGGCTCTTTGATCTGTGCTAAATAAGCTAGCACAGGACTGGGGCTTTGATTGCAAGCTGGTTAAGGCAGGAAATGTGTCTCGCCACCTTTATAACGTCTGGATCTGGGGATTTTGTGTGGTCCTCTATTCAGTATGCATTGATGATGGTGTTTAAAAACATCTGCCTCTTTCTGCTTTTCTTAAAGACACCTTGCCTAATAGCAGGGTTGTTTGTACTCCCTTTAACTTTGGGAACAACATCAAGCTATAAATTCAGACATCTACCGAAGTAAATGACCTTTGTCTTTTTCTGACTTCCTTTTCTGATGCTGACTTGCTCTTGCAATGAACTTGGGAGTGTTGCAAATGGCTTGTATTCCCCCCTGCCGTGAACTAATGAGCTGTCACCTAATGCCAGCCAAGATGACCTCCTCTACCATGAAACCAGACTTTCTGGTGTAGGCCCATATTACCAAGGTGTCACAGATAGGGGGAGAGTGGTGAAAACTTAAGAGTATCTCCTTAGACCCCTGTCACAGCAAACGTGCTCCCATGGCTTTGGGTAAAATGGAAAGCAGCCCTTTGAAAGATATGTCTCCCCCATAATGGGAGTGTGAGATGTCCCCGGAGGGGTCCCAGCAGGCTGCGGGTTCATAGAGAGGGGTGCAGGGGTCACAGACTTCCTCTCCGGTGGTGATGGTCTCCTTGTTCTCGCACCTCAGTGTGCCCGAGGGACTCCAGATCTGTGGGTCCATCTCATGCCCTTGTGTTTGTGTTTTGTCCACTCCAGAGGCCAAGAGCCCTGTGAACCTGTGCAAACCCAACCCCTGCATGAACGAGGGCGTGTGTGTACTCGGGAACGGCAGCTACCGGTGCGAGTGCCGCGGCTGGGAAGGACCGCACTGCGAAAGCAGTAAGCATCGCCAGCAAGACCGCTCTGGGATTTCCACTTGGCACAGCAGATTGAGGCTAACAGACTTCCCAAAGGGCAAGAGCTTGGGCAAGGGGCAGTAGCAACACTGGAGATTGGGGCGGGACCTGCTTCTTCCTTGCAGCCCTGGGGAAGGATTGGCCTGCATCCCTTGGCTTTGCCCTCTGCTGTCTCTTTAGGCCAGCACTGCTACCACCTCCTTTTTCCTTTCTTTTCTCTTTCCTTGTAACTCACCCCAAAACTTCGCTTGCCTCTCGGGTGAATAGTTGGTGGCATCCACTGGGTGGATTGGTGAGGACGGGGCACAGGGTTCAGGAGGGTACAGTGCTCCTTTCCACCGGGAGAAGGGAAGCCTGGGTTGCTGGGGTCTCTCAGGGGACGTCCCACCCTGCCACCCACAGCGGCATCATGGGGAGGGAAGCTGCCTTTGAAGGAGCTGCTTTCCCCAAAGCCATTAGAGCATGTTCACTGTGACAGGAGGGCCAAGAAGATACCCCGAAGTTTTCACCGCTCTCCGTCTGTCTGTAGCGCCCTGGCAATCTGAGCTTATCTCAAAGTCTGGGGTTATGGTAGAGAAGGTCATCTTGGCTCACTTTAGGTGAGATGTTAGTGCTGAGAGAGAGATTGCACCTTTTGGTTAAACCCCGGACGGTAGCAAGTCATTGCTTTCAACAATTTCCATCCCAGCAGTCTCTTTCCCATGCTGGGACCCTCTTAGCATCCAGCCGGGCACTACCAGGGATCTCCTTCCATTTGGCAGCATGGAAAGGACAGGGTGGTTTTGATATTTGTCCCCTCCTTCCTTGCCCAGTCCTGAGGGTAAGAACCTGTGGTCTTTCTGGGTTTGGGCCATGCAGCTGTGCACAAGGGTTTGGAGCAGCAGTTACAGAGCATCCTTAGGCAAATGGTTGCATGTACGTGCAGGGGGCAGGACTCAGTGCCAGTCCTCTGTAGTGAACCGTCTGCCTAAGGTTGCATGCTTGGTCAGAGCCAAATAGGAGCCAGGGGTCCCAACTTTGTCATGGTATCCCTCCCCGTGCAGGTTAACATCGTGCCATGTGCCTTTTGCAGTCACCTCGCTTCTCATTGTCAAATAGTGTATTGAGTGTGGCTTTGTTTCTGCCTTGAAATGTTAATCTGTTTTTGCCTGTCTTTCTATTTTGCTTTTTTTTTTTATTATTATTTTTTTGCAACAGGAATTTTGAGGGGTGATTCTTCCAGATCCCTGCTCCGTCCCCGAACACAGTGGAATCAGAGTCGGGGATTGCAGCCGTTTTACAGAGCTCGCCGGCACGCCGGAAGACATGCCCGCCCTCAACACTGAGTTGGACGGTCTCAGTATTTCCAGTCGCCTTTTGCTTAGGGTCATCAATATACAAGAAGATCTGGCAAGCAGTTACCAAGTACTTCAACGAATGGTTTAGTCTCCTAGAGACTGAATTGGTGTCGCGCAGAATTCACGTGTGACGTGAGCTGGGTTGGCCCGCAGCCAGTGCTGTTTTACTTTTTTGTAATGCGTTTTGTTGTGCGTCTATATATTTATTATCGACATGCTGCTTCTCCGCGCCACGAAATTAGTGTATTCCACTTTTTGTTTTCCACAGACATCTTGAAAGACGTTTGAATCAGCATGAACACGTGGGAAAAGCTAGCAATGTGGGGGTTCAGGCACAAAGGGAATAACTCTAAGAAGATATTGGGAGGTGGACGTGTATGAAGTGCAGGCTGGTACTAGTGAGTACGATTAAGCATTCAAAAAACACCCCAAAGGTTGAAATGGATTCTCCATCACATGAAATCTTTCATTCAAGACTGGGTGTCTTTCTAATAGAAATGCCCAAGTTCAGCCAGAAGTGATGGTTTTGATGGAAAAATGGGCAGCGAGATTATATAGGGAGGTCAGAACAGATGATTACAATAGACCCTGCTGGGCTTACTCTATACCAGTATGATTGGACAAAGCCAGAGACTTGGGTTCAGTAAAGGAGTTCGAGTGCCTTGAGCTGGCTGTAACGTGCTGACTGTCTTTACCAGCACCGTAAAATATCCCAGCAGTTAGTCACGAGAATGAATCGCTTGTTAAACACCGGGAAACATCCAAGCGAGAGGATTGAGCGCCGGTGATGCTCTTCATTAAGTTTTGCTTATTTTTCCTGTGTGCCAAATGTGCTGATGTTTCCTTGCTGCGCTCTCTCTGTTTATTGTATGTTGAGTGATCTCATGGGGGTTTCGCTTCATGGGCATTTTTATTATTCTTTTTATAAGAAGATGCCTTCACATTAAAACGTTATCTTTGTGCCTAATGCCTTTTTTGACTTTCAACTGGAGCTACAGCCATTTAACATGATGGTTGTTTTATTTAACCAGCGGGTAACATGAACCGTAGGTGTTGGATGAGAAATGGCTTGTTTAAATCTGGGGACAAGTAGCTAAAACATTCTGGCAATGGAGAGGACAAGTCCTGGGCTTAAGTGAAAGGCTGTTTTGATCTTATGTGCTCAGCAGTTGAGTCTTTTGAAGGGTCAAAATGATCTCCTTGGCAGCCAGTTCCTATTCTCCGTACTCGGGGAAGGCAGCAGAGGTTTTGTGTATCTGTGCTACGACTGTGACTGTGGCAGACCACCTCCATCCCTCTCTTACAAATAGGGCTCCGATCCGCTGTGGAAGCTGGGCTCTCGCCCTGTCTGCTGCCTTGGCTTTAAAATGGCCTTTGCCACCCATTTCCTGCTGCAATCAGTGTGCTTCCCTTCTTCCACCTCCTTCATCTTCCCACCCTCACTCCTCCATTCCTCCTGTAGGCTGGCTCCTTGCTCACTGATTTTTATGCCACATTTCTCACTCTGAGTTCTTCTTTCTGCCTTTCTCAAAGCCAAACCACAACTCCTTCTTCTGACGCCTTTGGCTATTCCTTCTGTGGCTTCACCAAACCAGCTCTGGTTTTCCCTTTGGATTGGTAAAGGGACTCCTCTAAGTGCTCAGATTTCACAGCGATGAGCAAGGTGGAGTGCGCCAGCTTGACGGGAATAGGCAGTTTCTGGTGCCCTTGATTGCCTTTAGGTTGTCCTTTCTTGACTTCATCCCCAGCATGATCACAGTAACAGGAGCTTTAGATGGGGTGGGAGGGAATCATGGGCCAGGATGTCAATACATTAGTCTCCAGAGAGCAGAATTTGGCCCTGTGCCTGGGGCTTTCGGAGCTTGTCATTTAATGGATCACTGAATCCATTTGCTGTGAAGCTCTTAAACCAGCCCTACTGCTCTCCCAGGGCTTGTTATCCACTCTGATGTTGCAGCTTTAATTGCTTTTCCCATGCAGCCCATTGCCCTGGGAAGTAGCAAGAGCAGCTCCACTTGTGCTAAGGGGTTTACCAGGAAGTGTAACTGGGACTGCTGGTGTTTGTGATAAAAGCAAGAATCCTCTCACCCAAACAGCCCGTCCCAGGCAGCCCCAAAAAATCGCAGACTTTATTTCACAGGTTCGTTGTTTAAAGGATGCTGATCCAGAGATGGAAGCTGCCCCCGTGAAACAACAGTGACTGTATCTTATACCTTACGGTGGAAACCGCCGTGCTCTGATGGGGAATGTCTTTCTGCTACAGCTTCAGCAGCTTGTCCTTTTGGCTTGAGCACCCAAGGCAAGAGGAAACAGGAGCAGAAGTGCAAGTCTGACATTTGGGATAGAAAAGGAGACTAACCCATTAACATCGCTTCCTCCTGGCAGGGCCCTAACTACATGCTGCTTCTGATGTAAAAAATGTCAGTGGCCACTTGTTACGGAGAACAGGGCCAGAGGAGTTTCCCAGCGAAAATTCAAAGACCAAGGTTTGTTCTTTATAATGTCGATATGCCTGTGGAGTGGGGTCCCCTTCCAGCCAAACTTTGCAATGAAAAGTATTCTCTGTTACCTTGCAGTCTCTCTCTGGTGCTGGTTGTTTGATTTCCACCCCTTGCTGCTTGATTACATCATATTTTTACAAGACTCCAGGATTTTCCATGGTATAATTCACCTAACACGCTCTTTCCTCCTGCCGTCCTTTTACAACTTGCTTTCAACACAACATTGGTTCTCCCTTGTTTAACAAAAATGCATTTGTTTTCTAGAGCCCTCGGCTTGCGGTAAGAGATGCGCTTCGTTAGCAGCCAGTGGTATTTTAAATGTTTCCCTTGTACATAGGTTGCACGCTGGGTTGGTATAAATCTGTAAGCACTTAGGCTTGATTACAGACATGTTGGTATGACGGGTGTGTAACATGTCTGTGTATTCTCTTTGTGCTAATACGCTGCTACCAAGAACATTTCTGATGTTCGTGAATTATCCTGTAATAAGGGACGTGGGGTTAGGGGGCAGTGGGGGATAGGACTTGGAAAGCCAGGAGTATTTTTGCTCACAAATATGTACTTTTAAGTCTGAATGGGCCAAGGGCCCTGGGGAAGAACCATAGACCATTAAATCAGGTTCTGGTGGACTCATCTTTAGTCACACGTGGGCAGTGTTTCATGCATTAGGGCCTCAAGCTTGACTGGACCTTCTAGGTTGCAAACACCTGACACAAAATAATGATTATATGAAAGGCTGGGGAGGCTTAGGCTGGGTGTTTCACCTAGTTTATTATAGGTGAGGTTGGGAACATCCTGTAGTATTAAAGTTACTTGACATTTCCCATTATCAGGCCCTGTTTTCAGTCCCTTATATTATCCCAAATTTTAATCATTTAGGTTGGACGACTTCAAAGGTTTCAACCATTTTGGAGAATAAAATGAAAGAAAAATAAGTTGTTCAATCTGCGTTTAACTTTTTTGGAGGTGATTATTTTTTTTGACAGCTCAGCATTTCCATTCTTAAGATCACAGCCATACCAAGTGGCAGGAGGCCATGCCTTTGTGCCAGGGATACTGTAAAAACCCATTGAAACTTGGCCCAGCTCTGAACACATAGAAAAACCACAGTTTACACATCCTCAGTAGAAGTTTCTCTGCTGTTTAACAACTAAAAATCATCAAGATTTGTGTGTGGCCCAATGTGGGGCTGGGCAAGGGGTGCTGTAGTTGGGTTGGGTGGAGGCTTAGAGCCTGTCTCTCCTATAGGAGAGCATGCAATCCTAACTTTTGAGTCTTTACCTTAATAATGCTCTGCTTACATAGTTTCTGCATGTAATATGCAGGAAACGTAACATAAAGCCAATACCCACCCCAGAAGGATGAAAATGGAGCATTCCCCTAATGGTCTGCTGTCCTGTTTAGTACAAGGCGCTGTTCTCCAAGCCAGGTAAGAAGGCCGCTGCCTTTGGGTGCTGGGGCAAAGTCAAGCTGATAGGCAAAGGAGGAGGCCTAGTACGGCACTGGACTGGGAGGGACATGGATCAGCAGGGTGACCTTAAGTAAGTCACTCAGTTTTGCTGTGTATCTTCAAAATGGGGCAGCTGTGCTCTTGATGTACCTCCTTGGCAAAGTGCAATGAGAGGTGCATTGTGAAAGGTAGGTGATAGCGTTACTTCTAGGGCCAAAGCTGTGGCTTGAGTCAAATTAATCCTTCTTGTAACTTCAGGGAAGCTCCCAGTGGGGACCCAACCTCTTGGGAAATACCCTCCGATAGGCTGGAAAGCCACAGAGAAAATATTGCCGCAGGGTCTGTCTTATGGAAGGGCTGAGCACCCACAGCCCAAAGTGAAGTCAATGAAAGCTGCAGCGCTCAGCACCTCTGAAATACAGCCCGTGACCTCTGTGGATCTCCAGCGGGACAATTCAAACTCTCCAGAACGACTTCTTGAGCAGAAAAAAAAACACTGAAATTCGCACAAGGGCTAAATTACTACTTAAACAGAGTGGGTTACATTTGCTTTTTGTTGCGTTTCCATTGTGTTAAGGGAAAGCGGGATTTGGTCCAGAGTTGCAGCAGTTCAGATCCTTTTATGATGGATGTGACATTGGTCATAATGTCACATCCATCATAAAAGGATCTGAACTGCTGTAATGATGAGCACATGCGGCATCCCAGATGCGCTGGAGCACCCGCAGAACCTACTGTCTGCACCCAGACAGGCAAACGCTTGCCGACCGGCACGGTGCTTGCAGTCGGAGATTGCTTGCGTCTCACCCAGTCAGGTTTGCAAGACGGGACTTATAGGCTCTGGTGGGCTGTTGCACTTGGAGAGGTGTTTGTTGGTGTCCGGCTAATGTGACGAGAGACCTGATGAAGTATTTAGACTCACAGTTGTTAAGGGCTGGAAGGGACCTTACAAAATCATCAGGTCCAGCCCCCCTGCACTTGGGCAGGAAAGACAGGTGACCCCAGCACGATGGGCGTTGAGTTGCTTTTTGAAGATTGCTAGGGTGGGTGACTGTACTACCCCTGGACTGATGGGTGAAACCAGGTGGGCTGTGGTGTGGCAGAGAGAGACAAGAGTGTTACCAAATGAACTGCCCCAAACAATACTTTACCTGTGACTCCCTGAAACTTGATGTGAGGCAGGTGTGAATAATGATCGCATTTAGCATGGGATGAATGACTTGGGGAGGGGAGGGGAGGGGGGGTCGTCATCACGTTCCAAAGCAGGGAACAGCTCGTGAAATGGAAAGAAAGCCCCTTTTGTTTAAAAGGGGGAAAAAAATCAAGAGTTTGGATAGCGTCGGTGGAGCTGAGCTGGTTTCTTTAACTCAGACTTAAAAACAACAGCCAAGAAAGGCCCCAAATACCTCGCAGCCCCACGTGTTAATTAAAGAGTGTCACTGGCTTGGGGCTGCAAGGCGGCCCCTTTTTTAAATTTACTCCTGGAGCCTTGCTGGAATTCAAACAGAAACCCTTAATGAGAAAATACTTCACGGGAAGCTCAGTCCCTGAGGCTGGGAAGGTTGTTTCAACCTGGCACCATCACCAGGAAGGTGGGGGCTTTGCAAAGTTGGTAATAAATTACCGTCTGGCAGCGGGTGAAAGGAAAGCTCTTTCCAGGGTGGGATGTGCCAGTTTGTCACAGGTGATAACTGGGAGCTTGGGACAGTGTAACTAGTGCAAATGTGAATTAGCCTGGCCCCGCAGGATGTTGGCTGGACCCTTGGCTTCTCCCATCCGAGGTGTTGGCTCTGGTAGCAACTTGGGGTGCAAGGGCCACAAATGTCATGGTCTAAACTTTTTTATTTTCCCAGTCCCCTGCCCCAGGCACCTTTGCCAAAACCAGCAAGATCTTGCCTTTTAGAAAATACTGAATGAGAACGTACTTTCAGGTTATAGTGCTGTGTACTTCTCTACATGCAACCCCGCACCCCAGCAGCCCTCTTCCTCCAAAGACCTGAAAAGAAGCTACTCTCT